TGCCAAACAAGGAGGGATGGAAACCTTGGCAAGAGGAGCCAGCACAAAGGCACATTCCCTTGCCAGGACCTTCGAAGCACTCCATGAATTTCTTGCCACCACAATTCCTAGCCATGGCTGGTTTCCACTGCTTTTCCCGTTTTGCGCTCTCCCATGGAGGAAATCAAACCCCGAATTCTGAAGCACTACTGGTTTCTGGAAAAAGTGGCAGTTAGAAAATGCAGGAGAAATTCTGACTCACCTGGAGGAGCAGTTTCATTGAGGCTGGGGATATTTGTGGTATTCGTGGCATCTGAAGGAGAGGAAGAGAAAGAAGCAAGTGAGGCCTTGCTGGATGAAGTAGGATGGCCAGGTTTCTCCCAGTACAGGGCATGTTGATGCCACCTAGGCACATGGGCGATGGAGAGCCTGAGGCTGTCAGCAGAATGATTTCCTTTGGTGGCATCAACCAGAAACAAAATCTCACACTCATCCCCAGCACACACCGATTTTCAGCAAACAGAGACTACATATAGGTGCCTTCCCTTGCCAGTGACCAGGCAATTCTCTATGCATTTTGGGCTACTACAAGTGCCAGTCTCAGCTGCATGCTTCTGTGCTATTCCAAAGGCATGCTCTCTTTTGCAGAAGCCTAAACCCCAAAGTCTGAGGCACTAAATGTTTCTGCAGAAAACAGAGGTCTGAATAGCCAGGAGAAAATCAGACTCACCTGGAGTAGCAGTTTCAGTGAGGCTGGGGATATTTGTGGTATTCGTGGCATCTGAAGGAGAGGAAGAGAAAGAAGCAAGTGAGGCCTCGCTGGATGAAGTAGGATGGCCAGGTTTCTCCCAGTGCAGGGCATGTTGATGCCACCTAGGCACATGGGCGATGGAGAGGCTCGGGGTGTCAAGAGGATGGTTTCCAATGGTGGGTTCCATCTAAACCATAATCCCACACTCATGCCCAACACACACTGAATTCCAGCCAACAGGGGACACTTTGTGAAAGTGTGCCAGCATGCAGGCAGTCAAATGAGTGGTA